TTCACAGTCCGAAGGGCATCACCTTGAACTCGTACAGTCCATCGGGTGTGACGAGCACAGTCTTCTCTCGTTCCCGTTCGTCGACTTCGATCTTCCAATAGCCACTCTTGAGGTCCATCGACGAGAAATATAGAGAGTGGCTCAACCGGTCCAGTGTGTCGTTGATGCGGGGGAGCGGACGCTCGTCCTTCTTCGTCACCACGTTAAAGGGGCTGTGCAACGACTTTAGTGCTGAAAGAATTGGCAATTTGATTTGTTATATTGTTTATCCAAGCATAAGGGACCAAAATGCGTCACCTTGCCCCGAAAAACTGCTATTCCGGTGCGTAATCGCAAAGCAGAAAACCACATATTTGTCGAGCTGCAGCCGCTTGTGGTCGTTAACAGAACCGATGTGTGACGTAATCTGGGGGATGTGCAGAAGTCAACAAAACCTGTCTCCCTCCGCTGCTACACTTGCCGTCACGCCCGTGGCGAACCGTATTTAGTGTCGATCGATCGCCGCGACCTTCGACGATGCTAAGCCGTTAAAAGTCGATATTCGCGGAGGAAGTGGCTGGGGTCTCTGGAGAGAGAACCCAGGGAGAAACCTCGTGATCCCCCAGAGTACGTCACTCGAAAGGCGACGTGGAGTCACTTTTACCTTCGCTTTGTTTCATTTTTTTTTTACATAAAGACTAGCACTCGCAAGAAAATACGGTTTTCTGTTCTTCGTTCCATGGATGATCGACACAGATTAATTTCCGCAGTTAATCGGCCAAAGTCTGAAACGCGTTGCACCGCCCCTTTAAGCCGCCAGTAATCTACGCAGAATCGAAGTGTTCCGTCCTTCCTTTTCACCAGAACGACCGGAGATGCCCACGGGCTGCTTGAAGGCTGAATAATGAACAGAACCGCCTTTCTTCTTTTGGGGACAGTCGGTACGGGGCCTCACATTGGCTCCGTACCCAGTCTTGGTTTTGGGGCCTTACATTACAACTCTGTGTTATCAGTCATTCGCTCTATAACATCATATTAGGCTGCCGCATATCATCGCGAGACTGCTATATATACTACACAACTTTACGATTTGGACATCTACTTTTGCTAGCTTTGAGAACATCGCATTTCACCAAAACACTTAACTGTTGAACATGGTTTGCACGTGACTATGCTGGTGGTCATTGCGATTTGTTCTTGCTGATAAAATAAAATCCGGTGGTGCAAAATGCACGCTGCAAAAGGTTCGCGCTCAGTGCAAGTTATGCATTCACGAGACAGAAAAGCATTGCTTGGTGCAGCGTCGTGAGGAACGGCGCCAGTGTCTCGCATCACAAAAACGCGCTTTCTGGGAGGAATGATTTTGCCAACAATGTAGTTTCCGCGATCACGCTGTCTGATCACTGCGACGGGGCTGTGTGGTTCATGGTTGCCATTCAGTGACCGTCGAACCCGCTGTGAGACGCACTCGTGTCTTAGTAGCGGAGCTGGACAGTGAGTCGAGCACGTGGGTACTTTTAGTACCGGTTGGTTTTCCCGGGCCGTTGCACTGGCTGTTACAATAGTTGGTTTCATTTATCCCCACTTAACTCCAATTGGCTTTTCCTGAAAATTCCCACTTTATCATACGATCCAATCCATTTTTATTTGAATTGGTTTTAAATCGGGTGTGCCCTCGAGGCGGTACCGATTGAGGCATTTTTATTTTTCAATCTTTTTAGCAAAGCCTCGCTTTAGCAAATGTCTGTGCCTGAGATGCGGAGCAGACGAACCTTTACAACAGAGTATGCTCTTAGAACTCTCCCCCCCCCCCCCCCCCCCCCCCCATTTTCTTTTCTTTTTTCAACGCTCCTCCAGGGAATTGTTTTTTTAATCTGGGGACTTTTTTTCTTTTTTTCTTTGGGGGTGTCAGTTGGACAATTATATTTATGTCATTTGTTAGCAGCAGTCGTCCATTTCTTTTAATTTGCACCCGAAAGCTGTGAAGTTTAAACAAAATACGGAGGTGGTCAAAGCTTGGGGAAGGACTGGAGAACGACAATCCTGTGAGACTTTGAGCGGCGGTCAACGTTCGGCTGTCCTTCCGAGGCCACTTGGATCTTTCTCTTCCGGTATCCCGTCCGTACACACTTGTAGTTCTACTTATCGTGGAAATAATAAGTTACATTTTGTTTTTTCTATGTTCCTATTCTCGGAGACAACTTTTTCAGACAGTTCAGAAACAACGAAAACATGTTTGGTTGCCTGAATGATGTGCATATGTGAAATGGGTCGTGCAACTATTTTTGTACTTTATTTAAATATTACTAAAAGCTAATTCTTAACGTTGATAACTTACGAAAACACCCATTAGTTTTTTTTCTCTCCGCTCAATGGCAGACGCAGAAAAAATAAAGAAACAACGTTTCCCACCTCTACTCGCTATAAGAACGAGCGGTCGTGTGACCTGACGCTAATTACATACCGGCAGTGCTCGTCATAGTCATGCGCTGGGGTTGGCAAAGAGTAAAGAGTGGGTTGAGCTTTAGACATTTTTACACTTGGACTATTTTTACCATTAATTGAACACGAGCCATTACACTAATGTTTGGCGGTGCTGATTGTCAAGAGCCCGAGCACTCGACTCGGGCACTTGACAATCGATTACGTCACGGTGTCACGTGACTCACGGTGAGAAGTTGTGATGTCATGTGACGTGACGGTGTCAACAACGCTTATAAATCTAGTGATGTCCTCAATTTAGTTGACTTGACGCAGCGAGTCACATGACTACGTTACGGGCCACATGACGTGACATTACTTGACAGCATGTCTTGACCCATGACGCCACGTGACCACGTGGCACATGATTAATCGAAGTGCCAATACAAAAGCGCCACGAAAAGCCACAATTTCTCGTACATTGCAATTCGGTATATGACTATTCGATCACCATATAGGAATACAGCTGCAAATTTTTGTTTCTGAAACACTCATCTTTTAATAATAAAAAAAGAGTACCGTCAACCGTTTTGAACCGGTTACCGTTATTTTTTTTTTTTTCCGGTTCAGTTCCAAGATGGCAGCGAAGATTTCGGTTCGGTTCAGTTACGGTTCGAAAATCTGGTAGTAACTCACTTGCGCCTAAAGCCGGAGTCATACTACTCCTATATCATACAAAAGACAGTCCGCATACATATTCAAATGCGGGTCACCGTGAGATCCGTGCTTTGAATGCCGCATGGCAATGAGTTTAAGGAGAAACGTGGCACCCGGCATTCGAACCACGGATATTGTGGTGACTCATGCTTGCAGACTCTTTTTGATGTATGACCAGTGTGACCCCGGCCTAAAAGAAGTTCTTAACTTTCCGTAACAATTGTATTTATAGTTTGAACCTGTAATCATTAAAAAACACAAGACAATGCTGACTTAAACAATTTCTAGTTTTATTCAGTGAAAGGCAGCCAAATCTACAAACAACTCATTCACCTCTATCAAAATCATGGTCTCTAAAGCAAAGAAGGGGTAAAACAAACAATAGGGCAAAAAAAATATCAAAGTTATTTACAAAAGTAAAACAATTCTTGCAGCGTGCCTATCGCCATCAACTACGTCAAAGATGCTGAACTTGCGAACAACCCAGCAGGGCACGTTCAGGAAAATTTCAGCATTAGGAATGATGTGTCTTCAGAAGTCATTGCAAATTCCTTCTCGCGACGACAGTCAACTTCTTTTGAACGAGCACCGACCGCTTTGCAGGGGAGAACTGCGGTTGAGTTGCTTAACTTTTCGTTTGCTTTTGTGGTGCGGGCGTCTTGCGTGTTTGTCGGCACAGCGTGGGGGGGAAGGGGGGGGGGGGGGGAGGTTCTCTTCTTTTTCACCAATTATACAAACTTAACCAGAAAGAAGGACTCGAGGCTCGAAATGTGGCTGCCGGATAACTCTAGCGGATATTTGCCTGATCTACGGAACTTTCTTTTCCAGACCTTTCTTGGGGCCTTGCCCTCTGGAACGCCGAAGAGAGACGCCCTTCTTTTACATTTCGCGAACCTGTAGCAAGTGCAGACCGTTCGAAAATCAGCCGCGTAGCAACAAGTTTGTCGCCGTTTCGCCAGCGACATTTCGACGTTTCATTTATGCGTCCACAGCACACCCCGAATACCAAACATTTACGGTGGGAAAGTGAGGGAGAGGAGGAGACGAGAGCGCGGGGATGTAAGAGCGCTGAGCTCGGATTGGAAGGATAGTTTTGGGGACGCGAAGGAACTCGCCGTTCGAACGCGAGACCCTGCGCGAAGGCCGCATGACGCCCCAGTTCGTTCTGACTGGAGGGTGTGCAAAGAAAACACTTCGTTACCTACAAAAATTGTCAGCGGGTACGCGTTAACGGCGTTACCGGTAACGCCTCACTTTATTCTGCAACGTAGTAACCAGTTACATTTTCAAAACGGTAACTCATAACGTAGTGATGTTGCCTATTCCGTGTAAGGGTTAGGGAGTTTCATTCCTCGTCACATCTTCTTCTCAAGACATATATTAAAAATAGACACTACAATTGATTTTGTGTGTTTCCAGGGACCATGTCATCCCAACACCTATGGCCTTTGTCCAAAGTCGAATAAGAAAAATGAACAGAAAAGTAACCTGCGTTAATTCTTATTTGTAAAACTTCGATGTAACGTATCTCTGTAACGCGTTTATTTTATTTGCAAGAATAACATATTTCCTTACTTTCTTTTTTCCGGCAACACCTACAACACCACCCACAAACCTTAAAAAGTCCAAACAAATTGCTCCAAATATATGCTCCGCCATTTGTACAACCCAACCATGTAGGGCCGAAAACACCACATGTCCTATGTTCCCACCGAGCTGGCTTTCTGATTGAGATATATTTACCTTACATCAAGACGAAAACCATTGCCTGTTCTATACGACTACGTATAATGAAGCGCTTAAGGAAGCGACAAGGCGTTAGAGTCGCGACTCAAACACCGGATTATATCGCAATATTTGCTGGCCACCATGGGACCTCAGCTTTAAGAAGGCTTGACAATGAATATAACCGTTCTCCTAATGAGGATACGAGAGAGCAAGCAGAGGACCGCACAGGTGAAAGCAGCGATTCCAGCATAGCGGAAGGCAGCGCGTCCTCCGTACTTGCCAAAACCGGTACCCCCAACGAGGCTTCCCAATACCGCACCTGGAAGAAAATCGACGTAGTTATGAGTATAGTGGACATGGAGGAGTGAAAGCTTAGACAATATTAGACAAAAATAAGCGAAGGAAACCTAAATTTCAAAAGCGGGCCCGCAAGTCTTGGCTCTGATTGTAAGCTTTTGATGTAGTAAGGAAACGGGTAGTTCAACAGTTAGACACACTGGCAAAAAAGTGAAAGCCGTTTACAACTCCCTGTAACGCCGAATCGGAGCGCAGCTCTTGAGGAGGAGGAGTGAAGGGTAGTGAAGGGAGGGTAGACCCCTCCTCCTTCTCCTCCTCCTCCCCTCATTCTTTAATATGCTCCGGGGGGGTCACCTCGGGGAGGGGGAGTGTCACGTGACCGGGGAGGGGGGTCACGCGACCTCGGGGTGGCGTGACCTGGGGGTTACGTGACCTTGAGGCGACCTTGGGAGGGGTCACGTGACCTCGGGGGTCACGTGACCTTGGGAAGGCGACCACGTGACCTCGGGGGTAACGTGACCTCGGAGGGGTCACGTGACCTACAGGGGGTCACCTTGGGGGTCACGTGACCTTGAGGTGGCCTCGGGAGAGGTCACGTGACCTCGGGATGACCTTGGTTACGCCGACGGCGACGGCGACGCCAACGGCGACGCCGCTCAAGCCGGAAACGGGCGCCTAAGAGCTGCGCTGTAAAAAGATCTTTGATGCTGTTTGTAATACTACACCTTCCATTCTTGCTCTTCTTGACCTTCAGACATCGTAGTCGCGCTTTTCACGGGAAACTGACTGTACAGCGTATAGTCCACCAGATTGTCAACTTACCGATTCCTTCAAATCCTAAGATGTTCAGGATGCACATCACGAAGGTAGTTGTGCCTGGTGGAGCGGCCTCTTTGGCAAACACAGTAATGGAGGACAGCGCCATAGAAAATGCGATACCGTTGGGAATGGCGGCGAGGAGCGTATACCACGGGTTACGAACAAAAGAGCTTCCAATAAAGGACGCCGCATACGAGGCAAACGCCATTGAACACGCTGGGAAATAACCGATTCTTTTTAAGATCAACCCAGAGAAAACAAAAACGAACAGTTCCACAAGACTGACTACTGCGTTATATATACCAAATGTAAGCTTGGATGATCCTATGTCTTCCATCAGCCACGCGTTGAACGATGAAGTGAATGCGAACAATGATCCGAGGAGACAGGTCCAGAGAGCGAACACTATCACTTCCAGGCAATAGAAGACAGTTTTCACATCCCTGAAAAAAGTAGTCGTTACCCTTTTCATTGTCAATCGCGGCGTTAAGCAGAGCAGAAGAATATTTATTAGAAGGAAAATTGCAAAAAGGACGACACCCGGTGTGTAGCCGGAACGTCCTCCCGTCATCTTGTTCGCTTCGTCAATGAAGAAACCCACAAGAGGACTGCTGACCCCATAGCCCAATGTTCCCCAGAGTCGATTGTGTCCGAAGGACTTCGCATTATCACCCAGTAATTCGCAAAGCGCAGCATCCGATATAATGTACACTGCCCCGGAAGCCACATACGCTAGAACCACAAACACCACATAAAGGTAGAACGCGACCAATCTGGACGAGCGTTCCTGGCACGGACAGGTGAAATCGCAACTGTCTTTTTCATGGCCTGCCGTCCTATTCCATACAGCCTTGCAGACGGTGGAAGTACGGTTGCCGAGGGCGATCTCTGCTTCGACCTTGAAGGAGATGTCACCCAGCAAGTTTCGCCGACAAGAGAAGTTGCACTTTAGTGACTGTCCCGTGCAACTTGAAGGTGCGCGCATAAATGTTACGTTTCCATCGGAGCATGACAGCAGCCCACTCATATATGTGTCCCCTGTCTGGATGTACTGGCTCGTAAAGACAAGTCCAAACGATACAAGAGCGATCGTTTGCAAAGCGATCAACACTGCTGTGGCGTTTTGCGTCCTGTCGACGATGAAACCGCAGGCAGGCTTGAAAAATATGGCGATCAGAGGAATGAAAGTAAAGATGTAGGCTATGGTTGTCTCCTCAAATCCATTTGCACGACCCACAGCTGTTCCGTAGGGATGCACGCAAGCCATCGCTGTGGTGGAAAAGAAACAAAGTTTGACACATATAAGAGTGAATGCCCCGAAGGCTGCCTCACCATCGTTCGTATTCTATACATCTGTAGCAAAACTACTTTTGATTAGTGCAAATTACTTGAATGTGAGACGTAAAAAAATTATTTAGTTTTGCGCTCGAAGTTATTTGCGCTCAAAGTCGTGACAAAAAAAACACAGTAAAAAAAAAAGCAACATATAGGGCAGTTCAAAAAAACGTATATTTACCTATCCTTCTGTGTCTTTCCTTTTTTTATTGTTGCATCATGTCAACCAAGATAGCAAACATACAGCCCAAGCCCATAAATTTACACACAGAGCAATAGTTGACCATATTGCAACCGCAAGAGAAAAACTACCGAACTATCTTCTCTGGCATGTCGTCGGTCATGTTAACTTTACAGGGTGCCTTTTTTAAGCTTAACATATTTGTTTAAAAAGATCCGTGAAAGTTATGCAGTTTGTGCAGGTGAATTATATGGCTTGGGGGACATAATACAGGGTGCTAATCGTAATTATAAGCCCCTTGTATTATGCATCTTACATTTTACACCGTTGCGTAAAAACGCTTCATTCTGACGTGTTTTTAGGTTTCGGTTTCTTATTGGAGAACATCTTTGCGCCCGCGGTCCTGCTCTCCGGGGGTTGCGGCACTAAGCCACCACCTCTACCCCCCCCCCCCCCTCACAGAATGGAGAGAAGTATCGCGCTATCAGAACGTGCACTATCAGAAAAAAAATGGGTATATTCTTACATCCCTTGTGTAAGATTAAACAATTTTGTTTTTAACTTTCTAGAAGAACTTTTTTGTTTTGCAAATGAGAGAAGTAAACTTTTTCTTGGTGGAGACTTAAATATAATCAATCTTACTCGAAGAATCGCGTGTCAGAGACGACTTTCTTATTCTACTTACATAAAATAACCTTTGAAATTTTATAAATTCTCCTACTTGTGTCAGATCCTTATCGTCCACATTGCTCGATGTGTTACTGACAAATCAAGAAGTAAGTTGTATTAGTGCTGGTGTTCTAGAATATAGTTTAAGTGATCCTCTACCCATATTCATGTTGATAAATAATGTAACGAACCAGAAAAATGAGTTTAAGAATGAAAACAGAAGGACTATTAGGATCCGAAGCATAAATTCCGCCACGTTAGAAAAGTTTCGTGAAACTATTTCAAATACAAATTGGGACTCGGTTTTTTCCGCTGATGAAGCGTATAATGAATTTTTAGATATTTTTTAAGAAGATATACGAAAATTCGTTTCCATAGAGGCAATTAAAACAAGCTAAAAAGAAGCGCAAGTAATGGGCAACTAGAAAATGCTTAAATTGATTAATAAAAAAAAACTGTATAGCAGGTTTCTTAAAGCAAGAACTCCAGAAGATCTTGCTTTTTTCAAAAGATGCAGAAATACAGTGAATAAGGTTCTTCGCCAGACTAAACAAACATATTTTCATAATTTATTTAATGAGACATGTATGAAGAGAACAGATCTGGTATGGAAACAGTTAAACCAAGCGTTAAAACATGGTCCCAAATTTGAGTCAGCTAAACAAGAAATAACTAAAGAAGATGTAACATTACAAGGAAAGGTTCTCGCAGATGCTTTTAACATGTATCTAATAAATCTTGTAAGTGGCATACATAGTCCTCTGACAGATGATGTCCAGATCAAAGCAATTAAGTATGTATTAGATGTCTTGGCACCAGTTTTAACACATATTATGAATGCCTCATTGTATAGTGGTCTATTTCCTACAAAAATGCAGATTGCAAAAGTTATTCTTTTGTTTAAAAGTGGAAACAAAAACGAATTTTCAAATTATAGACCTATATCAATATTACCTGTGCTTTCTAAATGCCTTCATAATAGATAAACAAGTTTCTGTAAAAAATTTGCAATAAGCACAAACTCTTAGTTCGGTTTTCGAAAAGGCCGATCAACGGAATTGGCATTGTTACAACAGAAAAAGCTAATTTTGAAACCTTTCGAAGAAAAAAAAATAATTTTAGGTGTTTTTATAGATTATTCTAAAGCGTTTGATTGTATCGATCATATTACTCTCATAAAAAATCTCGAATGTTATGGAGTCCGTGGCGTAACATTCGATATTATAAAATCATATCTTAATTTTTGGCGGCACTGTGTTGTAATAAATGGTCAAAATTCTACCGTTCAACCTATCAGATCTGGAGTACTAGTAGCATCTTAGGTCCTCTTTTATTTAACTTGTATATAAAAGATATCGTTAACATCAGTAGGACCCCCTCTTTCATCATTTATGCTGATGATACTAGCGTTTTGTTTCAGGCACTGAGATACAGGAACTGGTGTATGAAACCAACCCCACATTACAGAAGCTAGATTAATGGAGTGTAGTAAACTCGTTAGAAATTAATATGAGCAAAAGTAAGGCGGTCCTTTTCAGACCTAAGAATAGAAATGTTAGTTCCAATTTTAATATTGTTCCTGACCTCTCTAAAACTGAACGTGTTCAAAATGTGAAAACGCTTGGAGTTTATTTTAACAGCCACATGTCTTGGAATGATATGCATATTATCAATATAGCTAAAAAAACTTTCAAAAGTGCTGGGCAAATTGTACCAGTTTAAAAATATACTGCCTTGTCGTTTAAGATTGCTTATATATAAAGCTCTTTTTGAACCCCTTTTAAATTACTGGAGCTTGGTCTGGAGCACTGCAACCCTTTCCCAACCTAGATAAATTACATATTCTTCAAAAAAAGGCTGTTCGCATAATACGAAATGTGTTTTTTGACACACACACTCATCCTCTATTCGAAGAGCTGCATCTAACAGTTATTCTTGATTCATATGAGTATACTCTCCTCACAGATTATAGATCCACCTCTCCATGTAATGAACCATTTTTTACTTGTATTTCAAATTTAACTTCCATTTCCAAACCTCCTGACGTTAGAAAATGGGAGCGCTGGAAAATTCCTTTAAATCGCACGAACTATGGGTTTCAAACGTTAAGCCATAATCTTCCGTCTGTCTTAAATAAAGTTGAAAAACAAAATGTGCCAAACATTGAAAACCTACATCTAAATGAAATTCGAGAACTTTGTTTTCACAAATAAAAAGTAAATTGTTGTTTGTGAGCTGTAAATACATCCGTTTTATATATTTTGTTTCCTGTATACACCCAGTCGCTAGATGCTGTCGTTCTTTGTGTATAAGGCCAAATCCTTCCTCTAGCAGCAAGTACAATATATAAGTGTTTTTTTTTCTTTTTTTTCATCCGCTGTCACTGTTGCTTGTTTTTCCCTGGTTGCTGTTGTTGGTTACCGTATGCCAATTGTAAGGCTACAGAGACCTTGTCAAGTCAAAACTGTTTTGACGTTTTGCCTTTGCAGCCCACATCACTATCTGATGATAATATAAAATTGATTGGTTGAGTGATTGATTGATTGATTGATTGATTGAGTGACTGATTGATTGACCCATATACGACACCACAAAAACTACAGTTCGACGTACAGCGCACTGACGTAGAACAGACGGCCCTAACTTTTACGAAGGGCTTGAGGTGGGTAATATATACCTCATTAAACAGCTAAAGTACGCCTTAAAGGCTACAGGAAAAAAAAAACTGAGGTTTTGCAGTAGGGCCAAGAAAACCTCGATTACTTCTTTTTTTTTGTAGTCAGTAACACTTACATTAGCTATTTTAATAAGTTGTACCACTCGGCCATCAAGCCGCTCGTGAAAGTTGGTCGGTTCGACGTTAGCGAGCTCTGCGTCGAACTGACGTTTCGGGGTGTCGTATATAGGCCGAGGGGTGATACAGTGGTCTTCGACGACGCTCAGCAAGTTTATAATTGAAAGCATATGGCTATTTTTAGTAACCAAAAAGTTAATTAACGAATTTCACCTAATTAGCCGAATGATCATTACGATTAGCCCCTATGCAATGTTCTCCAGACCGTATGACTCACCCCCACAAATCGCATAAGTATAGCAACTATTGACGTCGCCCCTTACTTGTTGAAAGAGTTACTGACTATAAAATGTGCTCTCAAATTGAAAAAGCAAGACGTTACTATATCTCAGAGTTTAACCCAATACTCAATTTAAACACATCGTCAATCACAGTTTAGCAGACCTTTGAAGCTTACGTATCACCGTCAATGTACAAGCTAACGTAACGACAAACTCGTATTAATTTTATACACTCTGAGCATAAATTTGCAGCTTCGTTTTTCTGCTGTTATTATAGTCAAAGCGACCATTGTTATAGTTAAAGCGACTCTAGTAAGAGCGATCATATGGTTATTGCGCGCGCACCTCCCTGAAAAGTTACAATAAATATTATTTTTTTAAATAAAAACCAAAATTCCCAAATGAGTTACTCACAGGCAAGGTAGAGAAAGTAGTGGACTTTCAGCGCCAGAAGACGCCTGTCCACTGAAGCTGGGAAGAACTTCATTCTCAGGTAGAGGGCGAGAGGTGGTTCCCTGAAGCCCCACCTAGCGAAATCAAAAGCTTAGCTCCTTCTCGCTCAATAATCAGAGAAAGAAATTCAAAGTGACAAAGCCCTAGCTCCCTTTAGAACCCGACCACATTAGGTGGTCGCGCAATGCAACAAGTGCTCGCATACGTGTCATATAAAATGTGTACGCATTCTTCTGCACTAAACTCCAAAGAACACATTTATGAACTTTGTACAGCGAATGATTGGCCAGTAGGTCAAAACACTCAGTTCGTTTTGCCAAGAGAACATATCGAGTGTTTGTCGCGTTAACAATTTATCATTGTAAACCACCATTAAAAGGAAAACAGACTGGAAACAAAGGCGCACGCACAATTCAATACAATACAGTGTTGGGTAAAGTAGATTTAAAAAGTACTTCAAATTAAGTTCTAAGTAAGTGATATAGGTATGTACTTTAAGTAAAGTAGTATGCGTACCGGGCGTGATGTACTTGAAGTAAAGTACAATAAATGCA